ATTCAACGCGCCTCAAAAAGCTCTACAACATGATGTATTTGGTTTTCCATTTTCGAGTAGGTCATCTTATCCGACAGAGCCTTAAATACTAGGCTTAGAACTTTTGGTTAACCCTAAGTAGAATGTGTGGGCATAAAAATTATCCTGGCAAACCTTTTCTATAAACAGTTGATTTTTTGGCTACTGCTCAACCACTAGGATTTACAGATGAATACAGCTCACATTTGAACTCTTCACCTTCATTTACCCTAGGAAAGTCGTTTTTCCTATAACTTGATTTCTATTGGTTACTGTTCAACCAATAGGATTTCGAGGCAAATGGAGCTCAGATTCGAGTTCTCCACCACAAAAAATCTCAAACTATCATCTCTGTGATCGAAAGACTGCTCTAATTGTGGACCAGTTAGAGCGTAGCCACAAACAGAACTAATGCCTGCTTGATTATCTTTGCAATAGATGAGTTAGCCTTCTTGTTTCTTTATGTTTTATATACCATTTTGTAGCTCGTGAAATTTTCTATCGAATGGTATATAATAGTTGAAGTTTTATTTGATTATAATACTAAGGGTTTTTTTTACGAAAGTGAGGATAGGTCGATTTTCCTATAGGAAGCCATAGGGAAAAATCACTATTTTTGAAATAACTCAGCAATGGCTCGGACAATCATGCTCATCTTCGAACTCGACCGAGATATTGTTAAGATTGAACTGTATAGAAAATTTCATCGCAATCAGACGCTCCTTTCAAAAGTTATCGTGTAAACGGACGGCCAGACACACTGACCGATTCTAGAGTGTACTCACTTTTTGAGTACACAAAAAGATCGAGTATAGGATTGATTCAATTGATGTTGATAAATGTTCACGGATTTTGTTGTACATATTCCTCCATTTGTAATGAAAAAGAGAACGTCCTTTTTTTTTGAGGTTTCATTTCTGTGTCTTCGAGACAATAATGACATAAAATCATATTGGTTTCGTTGAGAATTTTCAGGGATATCATCCTTTCTCAGATCAGAATCTAACATAATTATTACATTCGACTCTTTGGTTAAAAAATAATCACGATCAGAATGTGAACACTCATGATAATAAAGTATATTACTATTAAAGATATTATATTATCAATGCCATTTGTAAACAGAATTTTCTGGATTTATTTGAGATTTGGCAAGTTGACGAAACTGATATGAAAAGCTCTTTAGTTGGTCATAAATTCGAAACATTTTTTGGCTTTCCTATGGAATGAAGTTTCTTTTCGAGTATGTTTTGTCAATGAATCTATTGACTATAGATAGTCAATTTCATGTAAACTGAATTCGAAGAGAATAAGAGAGAGAAAACATTTAATTGAATAAAATGTGTGTCATTGCAAGTGACACAAAAGTTAGTAATTAGTTGGTCGGGAAATGAATTCATGCAGGAGGTAATAATTCATAAAAAAAAAAGAGAAAGCTGGCATCGAGGTTGGAAAAAATTTGTTTTTTTCGTCAGTATACGGAAGGACAGGTTGCCAGAATGCCTTGTCCTGCGACTCTCTGCAAAGCATGAAGGTAGTTTTAAGTTCATTTCATTAATGTTTATCTTGCAAGAGGCTTGTATTGAAATTTGTGGATGATGATTTCCACTTCCTTGTTGTCAGTTGGTGCCGGACCTGGAATCTTATCTTTATGAATCCATAGATTCATATGAACCGGTACTGCCGCTTGAGGTACGCGAGAAAAAAATGACCGAGGTGTTTGCCATTTAAAGAAAGAATTCGCAGGATTTGTCGTATGTCCGTGAAAACTCTCGAACTTTACATTTGAACTCGTCCACGTGAATGTACTAGTTGTATAAGTTCCATTAAGAGTGATTTTTTTGCTCGAGGATTCGTTCGGACCTGGGAATCTCGGATAAACGGTATAACCCAAGTTAGTTGCTGCCGGATTTGTTTCTCCCCATTTGGCCCATTCAATATCGATTTCGTTGGTACCATCTTTGCCTACGTCTGGAGTTGGATAAGTAAACAGGCCTAAGACAATTTTTGGGTCCATTTTGTCGACGGCACCTTCAATATTCCAAACGTATGTACCAAAGCCAAATTTTCTTGTCGATATTAGTTCGGCACAAGACCATTGATCATTGACATGACGTATTTTCAAATGAAGATGATCAGAGCTATCAACCCAAACGTTATTTTCGGACCAAACATTCGGACCTATAATGATTTGATTAGAATTGTAATTTACAGTGCTCTCCAGAAAAGAGTGTAGAAGTAATGTTTCTACGAGAATTTTTAAAATTATCGATGTGCATGTTTTTTTTTTTGATTGTCAAAAACAATGTTCCAAGTTAATCCTTTCTTGTCATTGGCTAAATCTGGCAGTATGGAAGCACAATTTGCTCAATAACATCAAGCCTTTCTCTTATGAATTATAGTGCATGTCTTAACATTATGTATCCGTTGAACATTAAAAAAAAGCTATTTTTATAATAAAGATTAGATTCAGATTGTTGACTTGAAGTCCACAATATATAGACTTTAAGTTAACATAAAACTCGTTTCTAAATGTCTCATAGTTTAAAAGAATCAAATTTTTATGAAATGGTATTTATAGAGATCATATGGCAAGAAAGGGTTAAATTGTAGAATTTTTACAATTATTTTCGATTAATCAGCTGTTCAATTTAAACAGACACAAACCTGGTCCTGAACTAGATTGATTGCGTAGATCCCAAGTGAATCCTGACCAGTTGATCTGTTTCGCGTTAATTCCTATATGAAGAAAATAGATATGTTCTAAATAACTCTTTATTGTATGCTTACGTACCGGCAGAGAGATAGAGAAAGGCGATGAAAAAACTCGTCAAGACGTCTTGATACATTGATTTTGCGTTTCTTGCTTTGAGTAATGGAACAAAATTGAAGGTGAGATCATATATTTATATATATGTTTATTTCAAAGAAAAATACCACATTTATCAATGACTTGATGTTGATTTTCTTATCATTTCGTATTTACAAAAGAATCAAAGG